TGTGTGTGTGTGTGTGTGTGTGTGTGTGTGTGTGTGTGTGTTGGGGGTGGGGGATGGGATGCCCAGAGTCCAGAAGAGGGTGTTGGATCCTCTGGAGCTGAGAACTTGGGAAGTGAGCTCTGGTCCTCTCTTCATCTCTCCAGCCCCTCCAAGGGATTCTTGATACACAAAAACTAAATCCATTGATTTAAACTCCATTTTTGGGCCAGCAAGATAGCTTGATGGGCAAAGGCACTTGCCACCAAGCCTAATAATCTGAGTATGATCCCTAGGATTCACATGGTTAAAGGACATAAAATGGCTCCTAGAGTTGTTCTCTGCACTCCATATACATGTTGTAGCGCGCGCGCACGCACATACACACACACACACACACACACACATACAAACCAAAAAAGTAATACAATGAAACCCATTTCTTCCAGATATAGAATGTATTATCTTTGTGACTTACCAATTTTTAGATGGTGAGTATGTGTGGATTTCATCAAAGAATCTCTCTGGTTGGTGTAAGGGATAGGGACTTGGCCTTGTCCAGCCACCAAATAGCACTAGCAAGTCCTTATACACGACTAGTGTGGCTCCAGCTTTGGGGGAAGGATAGGACCCTAGGAAGAGGCATCAGCACTATGGTTAGGATTAGGAACACACAATTCATTAGGCTAGCCACAGGTCATCTTCCCTTGGAAGGACAAGGAGGGGACCAATGTCACACAGGGGAGAGAGGCTGTGTTTTCAGGTCTGAGAGACTCATTACTGATTTGTACATCTTCATAAGCAACAGAGAAAGGTACTCAGCTTTCTTTGGAAAGTGGAATGGGCTGGGTATCCATCTCAAAAGGTCCCAGTTTACCTTAGCTTAACTTTACAATGGTGCTGCAGTAGCCAACAGTCAGTGGAAAGACTCCTTTGAAATTTCATCTAAGTGCTGGGATTAAAGGCATGCTCTACCACTGCCCAGTCATTTTTATTTATTAAGATATATTTAAGTATTTATGTGTAAGTGTGTGTGTGTGTGTGGTGCACGTGCACATGAGTATAGGTGCCCTTGGCGACCAGAGGCATCAGCTCCCCTGGAGCTAGAACTGCAGGCCCCTGCTGGAAACTAAACTTGAATCCTCTGCAACAGCAGTATGTGCTGTTAGCTACTGATCTCTCTCTCCAGCCCTTCAAAATATAGTCCTTTAATCTGCAAAACAATCTCTAGAGCATCTACATTGAGTCAGGGATTGTATTTCTGGGTTAATAAAATCCCCTGAGCAAATAAAGAATCAGTGCTAAACAGGTATTTTGTCTGGGGAGAGGAACTTCAATTGAGAAAATGCCTCCAACAGACTGCCTATAGGAAAATCTGTAGAACATTTTCTTGATTAATGATTGATGTGGGTAGGTCAAACTCATAGGGATTTCATGGCAGTAACAGCCAAATGTCACAAGACAATAAGAAGATTTACAATCCCATCACTTTCTCAAAAATCATTTATATTCTCAACAAATAGGATTGTTATCTTAGTTTTAAGATTAAATAAGTTAAAAAAAAAAAGTACATTTTGTTTTGTTTGTTTGTTTGATTGATTTTTCAAGACAGGGTTCTCTGTGTAGTTTTGGCTGTGCTGGAACTCGCTTTGTAAACCAGGCTAGCCTCAAACTCATGAAGATCCACCTGGCTCTGCCTCCTGAGTACTGGAATTAAAGTCGTGTGCCACCACCGCCTGGCAAAAAACAGCACATTTTTATTTACACATGTGGTGTGTGTGTGTGTGGTGGTTACACACTTGTCAAAGCACCCGTGTGGAGGTCAGAGGATACCTTGTAGTTCCTTCCTTCCGTTTTGTGTGTTTCAGGGATGGAATTCAAGTTGGCAGGCAGGGAGCAAGCAATACTGATTTTTCCTCTGACTTCTTTATTTATAGGGGTCTCCCCTTGGAGGGCACCACTCATTCTGATGGTCTTCTGCTCTCAGATAACCCTTTCTGGAAATGCTCTCATGGACCTGCCCAGAGGTGCATCTCCTGCTTGCTTCCAGAGCCCATCATGATTAAACACATGGACAGACTCAGTGTTCAGACTCCTCCTGCTGGGCACAGCGGCACTCCTAGCACTTGGGAGTCGGTGCTAGGATTGCTGATCAGTGTGCACACCCCTGATGCTGCTGCCTCCACCCTTCGCTGACATCAGACCCCAGCTTCTTTGGCCTTCCAATCAGGACTGAAGGCCACTGACTCTCTAGGAATCTCCTAGGCCTTCAGCATCAGATTGGGACTGCTAAGGCATCTGGCTTTGTGGGCTGAGCAGCTAGTGTTCTCAGCTAGTGTGCAGATGGCCACGGTTAGACTACCCAGTCCCTATGGTGTAAGCCATTCTAATGAATCTTTGATTTTTATTTTATTATCTACTATTATTTATTATTATTTATTAATTTTTGGTTTTTCAAGTCAGGGTTTCTCTGTGTCCTGGAACTTGCTCTGTAGACTAGCCAGAGCTGCCTGTCTCTTCCTCCTAAGTGCTGGGCTTAAAGCAATATGTCACCATGCCTGGCTATGAATCTCTTTTATAATCTACACAAACTCATATTCATTCACCACCCCCTTCATGTGACTATCTAGACCCCTTTCATTTCAATAATGGGATAATGATAAAAATCCAAAAATGGGTTTCACTTTCCAAATGTTCTGAGTAAAGGGTTACTAACATTAACATTTTTTATACAAATATTTCCCTAGTCACTGAACTATACTACAAAGTAAATAAAAACAAACCCAGATTGTTCCCATTACTGACAAAAGACTTCCAGCTGTACATGTGATTTGATAATAGCTGACAATTTTGAAAACTAATCTAGGACTAGACCTTAGGAACATGTCAGAGGTAAAGTCTGAGAATGGAACTCAACAGCATGCCAATGACTCCAGAAGAAAAGCAGCAGGCAAAAAAACAAAAACAAAAACAAAAAAAAAAAACTGGCTCCCATGTGTTTAATTGTATGTTGTTGCTTTTTAAAGAGGGCATGGTCTAAAGTCCCCGAAACCAACGTAAACATTGTTCTCTTGGAGATGGAGAGATGGTGCATTGGTTAAGAGTGCTCAGTGGTCTTGCAAGGGACCGAGTTCTGTTCCCAGTCCCCACACTACTAATAACTCGCCCTCCTGGGAATCTGATGCCCTCTTCAGGTCTTTATGAGTGGCACTGCACTCATACAGTCCTCAGACCATTGCAACACACTTCTGTCTGTGCTGGGCTAAAGGCCTGGGGAGGGAGAGGAGTCCCATGTCACCTCAGTAACCCATTGCTTTATTTATACACTGTGCTCCCCCAATAACAGACTGTCCTGGGGCAGAGGGGCTATTTCTTATGAAAACCTCTGATGAACTGAAACCCATCATCGAAGCCTACTGATGACAGGTCCCTCCTGTGCTGGGGACAGAGTTGGCTCCCTGTAATCATGACACAGCCTGGAGGCAGTGGCTGCCATCTCAACATGATAAACCAAACATTTCTCCTTTTTACTTTTATTTATTTATTTTTGGGTTTTTGAGACAGGGTTTCTCTGTGTAGCCCTTGCTGTTCTGGAACTTGCTGTAAACCAGGTTGGCCTTGAACTCACAGAGACTCGCCTACCTCTGCCTCCTGAATGCTGAGATTAAGGGTGTGTATCACCACTCCTGGCTTTAAAACATTTCTTAGTATAAATCTGTTTCTCTAATCCCCACCCCCTTCTATTTTATTGCTCATTTTCAGCAAGATCAGACATAATACACGCACGCACGCACGCACGCACGCACGCACGCACGCACGCACGGTTTCACTATGTGGCTTTGTTTTGTTTAGAGATCTGATCTCCTCATGTGTTTTGTGAACCAAGGAGACCTTGAATTTGCTTCAATCTTCTAGTATCAGGCTCTGAAGTGATGGAATTACAGGCATGTGCTGCCATGGCAAACTAAAGATAGACGTTTTCACTCTTACACCCCACACCCATGCCTTTAAAAACATCCCTGAGTAGTTTATGGAACACCCCAACGGCAAGGACTCTAGTACCTGCCATGAGAAGCAGGCCAGGGCCATGAGTATAAAGAGCTCCATGGGCGTTGTTCCCAGTGCCAATAAGCAAAGCCACATGAAAGACCACGGCATGAACAGGGAGCACTTGCCCGCTAAAAATTAACAACATGAAAAACAGTAAGGGTTCCTTGTCTCCACCGCAAGCTCTCTTTTGATCCAGTTTCTAGGGCAGCAGAGGTTACATCTGATAACTTAATTGCAGCCCTAGTCAGGGGCACCTTTCAAGTGGCTCCATTCACAGTGAAGACAATGTTGCTAGTCACAGACCTCCCCTCCTGGAGGAAACAGGAAAGGCCCACTAGCCCTGAAATATGCCAGTCTATTCACTCTCCCTTGGGGGGACGGGGGACGAGACTAAAGGTTACCAAAGAGCTGTATGGGCAGTTCTAGCTCTTCTCTCCAGCAGCACAGAATACTACCTACCTCCAAAAAGCATGTGTTCTAGAAAAATCCCAGGATCTTAACTTTATAAACAAAAATTCCTTTCTTCCCTCTGCTCTTCCCCACATGCCCTGAGACCATAGGCACAGACTGTCCCAGGGCTGCACTGGGTGGGAGGAAACAAGGCAAAGCTGCCACCCAATAAGAGTAAGATCAATAAACTCTGCCTCTAAACACAGTAGAGGAGCCAGAGCTGGCTAATGAAAGGTGGAGAAGCCCTCTAATCAAGCCCATTTCCTCCCCAGTCTGTGCTCTGATTGCCTGAGGCCCCCACTGCCTGCCAGCAAGACAAAGGCCAGCAGTAGTGACCAAGGCCAAAGCTACCCAGGGAGGTGCCTGGACATGAGCTCCTCCTGCCTGTGCCCTCTTGCCTCCCAACAGGACAGAGCAGGCCCGCCTGCAAATGTAAGATGGAAGCAGACGGGATGGAGTCACGGACAAACAGACTCCTGTAGCCCCTGGATTCTAACAAAAGTTGGAGAGAAGGCTGTGCCCTGAGCCCTGAGCCCACCACGTCCAGCATCCTAACAGATGGAGTTGGCAGAATTAGGTGGAAATGATGTGATGACAGCCAACTGTGGATCATATTGACCATACCGATCCCCAATTCCTTCTAAGACCTGCTTTCACTACTCTTCTGACAGACCCTGGTCAGGGGACAGACCTACTTGCAAGCCTGGGAACACCATCATCCCCTCTCCAGTGCCCAACTCTCAGGCACTCCCATGCCACCCTTCAAGATGAAGCCCTGCTGCTGCCATTCATGGACCCCCACAGCCTAGGCCTGCACCATACAAGCATTCTGCTTGTTTCTGTCTCTCTCTCCTGTGTCAGGGTATCTGCTGAGGACAGGGAACCGCTACTGCTTGGATGGTGCTGAAGACCCTAGTTTTGACTATACACTAGTCCTCTACAGAACAAAATGATTCGTGCCTAATGGGGTAAATAGGGGCTACTCCAAGTCTCTGCCCACTCAGAGCCCAAATGAAGATGCTTTTTGAGTAAAAGGACATTGGAGTCATCAAAATTGGTATACATAAAACCCCACAGCATTGGGGCTAGAGAGATAGCTCGGTGGTTGTGGTGGTTTGAAAGAAAATGGACC